TGTTCCTTACATAATGTTCTAAGAGCCCTTTGAGAATGATGGAAGCGTTTGCACAATTGGTGATTTCAGATAGTTTCCGGGATGGGTAAAGATGGGCGAATTGGGATTTGTGGACCTACTAGATTCCATAGGATGAGCATGTTTGATTCTGTGAAAGATAGCAATTTCAATAGATAGCAACAGATAATGGTTCACAGGCAGGATAAATGTTTTGCATTTTAAACATACACAAGTTTAATTCTGCTCAAAGGTAAAAGCATATTTTATTACCCATTTTGCTTCTTGTTGTTCAGCCAAATTAGCATTATTTCCAGACATCTGCTTCCTCAACTCAAACGCTTTGAAATCCGAATCCAATTAATTAATGTGGTGTAAACGTCAGTGCACCATGTATACAGTGGATAGTTAAATATGGAGAGAATAAAACATTAGGCATCAGGCTCTAACCATAATTGATCTTAAACAAAAGGACAAAACGAGGGTGGACGCTTTTGGTCTCTCATCATTAAATGCAGTCTGATCATGTACCCCATTAGAGCTTTTGCCTTGTCATTGGATTCTGAATTATACACAGAATCTAGAATGCTGTAAGGCCCTCAACAGGATGCGCCATATGTTACCCACAGAACAGCAGCCACACTGGAAGCTCTGATTTACTAAATATATCCTGGTAGAATAGAGTAACCATGTGTCGGTTGAAATGTTCCAAGGTAATAAAGAAAATAGTGCTGTTGAACGAGTCTCAATTTGCACAAATTGATAATAAATAGTGTCTGTTGGGCAGAATGGTTCATTCTTTACTGATGTGTCTCCAATATGTGACACTTGATTGTTTTTATTACATGTGCTGAATATTATGAAAAAAAATGAATGCTATTGTGAAAAGGCAACACGTGTATACTGCTTAGGACAGGAGAATAAGATAGAACATGGTCACTAAAACTGGCAATGTGCTGATGAAGAGCATCCAAAAGGGCAATACATTAGCACGTGTTTCGAAATGATTTATTTCAGTACAAAAATAAAAATTAACATCATTCATAATAGTTTATCAGCTTCTTGTTAGATGTTGCAATATGTAACAGGTATATTTGATGCTGTGTGGGACATTCAACACTCAGAAAGGATAGAAGATCAGTAAACTACCCATTTAATGACTATTGGGTGATACATCAGTGATAATATCCAAAATATTATTAGATGTGTATACAAAGTATTACAGCCCCTATATAGCGTTAATATCAAACAGTGATATATAGACTGAGTATGTTATCAAATTCTTTGAGTGTATTTCCCTAGTGTTTTAGGTATTATAACTTTTTGAAGTAATCTGTGTCTTTTTCTAATTTGCCTGATCATTCTCTTCAATATAGGTGCAATTGGGCTTCCTTTGTCTGCTCTGTACTTTTGTTGTTGAGGAGTAATGCTGTGTACAGGAGCTGGTCCAGGCATACTTGGCTTAGGGCCCCTTGTGTTTGCTGTTTGTGCAGTTGTATTTACTAGCAGCACGTTTTCTATGTGGGTAATTTAATTCTCTGTTGTTTCTGCGTCCTCTGTGATGTCTGCGCTTTCTGTGGCTAGAATTGGAGATATATTTTCTATGGGGTTGTTGTTCAGGTGTTGTATGTTTATCTTGTTGGCATCTCTCTTGTTAACTGTTCAATTGCTCTTTGTTCTGTCGTACAAACCTCAGCTTCTTTGCATTCATTTGGTTTTGTGTTTAGATTTGTCGTGCAAGCATATCAGCAAAGTCAAAAGTGAAAGGCAAGAGTCGAGTTTGACTTGTATTTTTCTAATTTTAACAGATCGTGCATGGAGTAAATATTTTATTTTTATACTGCTTTCTGTGAGCTGCTGTGGTGTGTTAGACCTTTGTGTGTTTTTACCCTCTTTGTAGTTGCAAGCGAATAGAAGGTCCGTCAGAAACTAGAAGCAGTTTTGGCTGCTGTCATTGGTGATTAATGGTGCATGTGTGGACTGCACTGCTGTGTTTAGCTGAAAATGGTTCCAGTCAATGTTATTTAATGGGCATTATTTCACGGTTCTTGACACAGCCAACATGGCATAAAAGAAATAAATATCTTAGATAGCAGGAGGCGGAAGAGAGAAACATTGAAACAAGAAGATAACGTGTCAGAAAGTCCAGTAACTTAAATCTACAATTATTTTGCCTTCAAATATTATTGATCCACAATTTATTAATGGCTGTCTTTTCTTGCTTACAAACAGTCAGTACATTTGACATTAAATACTTGTGAAGCACTATGAGATATTTTGACGTGATCAAGCCCTATTTGTGGAGTCCTGTAGCTCAGTGGTTAGAGCACTCGCTTTGCAAGTGAGAGACCTGAGTTCAATTCCAGGCAGGGCAAAACCTTGGGCAAGTTTCCTTACTCCACACAGAGCCTAATAATAATCCCTCCAAAACTAAAAACAATAATAAATTGGTCATTTTCAATCTACGACTGTTTGTGGGACATTGCTGTGCGCAATTGGCTGCCGCGTTCGCCCACAAATATACAGTCAATTCACTTTACAGTGTGTTCTGTGAAGCGCTTTGGGACGTCCTCCCGACGTGAAAAGCGCTATATCAAATGCAGGGATTATTATTATAAAATAATAAGATTATTTGGTTAATGGGCACAGTCACTTAATAGTTGACAGTACTCAATGTTTAGGCTCGTCCGTAAGGCATGAGAATTTCGATGAGATACTGGGCGTACGGAGCCATGAATTATTGTTTTTCAGGGAGAAAAGAAAGGCAAGTTGTAGTAGTGCTTTAGCTTTATCGATTGAACTCTACAACAGATGTACCTTATGCACTATTTTAATATTTAAAACTATAATGTGCTTAAGGCCTTATCCTGGTAATATTTTGGTATATCAATGAACTCATTTTAGGGTCAAGATTAATTTTAAGTAAAAGGTGCTATATTAATGCAAGTTGTTTGTTATTCTTGTTTGCCTTGTGCTTGTTCATCGTGTACATCACTGTGACTCACAAGAGCACAGCTTTGAGCTGAGCTGAGATTGTGACAGAACCAATTTCTTGCATGTCAGAATGACATACATGGGGTTCTCTGTAGTACAATACCGTTGACTTACATTCAGGTGCTATTGACTGGCATTTTTCCCCTAGTGCTTTTCCCACCCTACGTTTGGATATGGAAAGTGTTCTTTTTATTTTAAAGTCAGGCTTTGGCATTTTCACATTGTTGTCCTTCTGTGGTTTGACAGTAGTACAGTAAAATTAGTTTGCTGACATAAAAACATTTTTTTAATTTCTGATCATTTATATTTTGTAATGGACTTAATTTTAAGTAAAAGGTGCTATATTAATGCAAGTTGTTATTTGTTATTACAAGTGGTATGTCATTACCACAAATTTCACAAATCCCCAATCTTTGAAGTGGCAGCAAAATATAAAATCTCTTTGGTCATTTGTGAACCATAATCAGAAGACAATGGGCTGGTATTTTGGAAGGATGATAAAAATAGGCCAAACAGTCTTATTTTCTTGTGATGTGATGTGGAATTTGCTCACTGTTTTAGATAAATGTGTGGAATCAAATGATATTTCTTAACTCAATGTATCCTTTGAGCAAACCTTTACAAAATTGTAATCCTTGAGTGTTTTTAATTTTTTTATATAAGAGTTATATTGAAGCCCTTAAGGTTTTCAGCAAAATATTATTCAGCAAGAAACACTATGATCCCCTTTTAAAGGAGTGTGCTCTAAATCACAGCGCGTTCCTATTTATATATCCAATGATAATCTCAATGTTTATCATAATCTCATAATGGGTAATCAGTCAGTGGAACTGAACTGAAAGTGTGCCATAATTGATGATTAATGCACTTCATGACAAGTTTACGCACTCATTTTCTCCTTATGCTCAAAATAACCTTGACAATACATTAGACATTACTCATGCATGTCTTTTGTTTGTTTTTATCGCTTGATTATATTTCTCTCCACACAGTCCTTTTTGTGTGAATAGTGCTGCTGTATTCGTAAAACTCCCTTAGTAGTGGAGCTCCGCTGTAATGCAGTATAGGTTAGTTGCGTTTAGGTGGAACTGGACACATGTGTTACGATGATTTATGCAAACACATGACGGTCTCCTAGCAGCAGCCTGTGTTTCCTGCTGAGAACAACTCAGCAGGTTAGTTGAGCGAGTGCCAGCCCCCCTGCCAGGGGTCTTTAGCTTTTCTGATTTACATTGTATAGCCTTGTAGACATTACAAGCAGGAAATCAGGGCCACAAAGTTACCCCCAATCAATGAAATCCACCCGCCACTGTCTGAAACTGAAAATAGGATCGGCACTACTCAAAAGCTGGTATGTAAACATGATTTTACTAACCAACCCAATACTTACCCTGTTCTAAAGTGGCAGAAAGCGATGAGCCAAGAATATTCAAAATAATAACATGTGGATTTTATCTAGAGATAAATGTTGTCGAAGGTGACTGTGCAAACATCTGGATTTGTTTGACGGTCATTTTTGAATATTTAAAATCCATTTTCAGCCCTTTAAGGACACAAGTTGTATTTCGGGATCAAAAGAGAAACTAGAAATTTGTCGGGGGTGGGAGGGGCGGTGGTTAGGATATTCTTGGCCAGTCTTCACCTCCCAAGAGATGAGGTAGGTCTTTAGCCAGAAGAAAAAGTCACAAATTGGAGCTTGGAAACAACTGCACTTGAGGAATTCTGTCTTCAAAATAAATCAAGGCGGAAGAATTCTAGGCAGTGGTAATTTTAATCTGCTTGAGAACTGGCTCTTTCTCAACCTATTCTCAAGTAAGCTAGTGAAGTTATACGTGCGGTTAGTTTACTGAACTTAATAACATGCAGCTGAGAATGTATTTTTTAAAGTAATATGTTCATTATAAAGGATATTATATTGCCTTTTAAGTTAAACACAACCAGCTCTTATGTTATTTACAAACTTGTCTGGAAAGCTAATTTTTTAAACAAAATATATTTTATCGCCACAGATGAATGTTATCATCGAGATGGTGAAGGATTCAAATTTGAAATTGACCTTGGCCTTTGGGATTGGGCTGCATCATGCTGGACTGCATGAGCGCGACCGTAAACATGTGGAAGAACTCTTTGTTAATTGCAAAATTCAGGTGAGTCAGTCCTTTCGTTTCTCCTGGTCACCGTGAAATAGATGGGGAAAGAAAGAGAGCAGAAGTCGTACTGTTGAGTTTTCTATTTATAACTGTCCAACGAGTCTCATTGCTACGTCTCCTCTATACTGTTGCAGGTTCTTATTGCCACAAGCACTTTGGCTTGGGGTGTGAACTTCCCTGCTCATCTAGTTATTGTCAAAGGTACTGAATTCTACGATGGAAAAACAAGGCGTTATGTGGACTTTGCAATTACAGGTAAGTTGCTCAGACACATGTTTCTCTCATTTCTTCTTGTTTTTTGGGTATTGAGTATTTAGGAGAAGACTTGAGCCATACACAGGGGAGAAGGGAATAGAAGGGTATAGAAGAGGGATATTTCAATACTGGGGTATTTCAATATTGTTTTCCTGATTCTACAATACAGCAATTGGGATTTCAATCTTTCTGGAAGCCTGGCCTACTTTAGAAGCTATAAAGTTCTATAACTATAAGGTCGTGTGCTGCAGTTTCTCTGAAAGCTGAGTGGAATGCAGGTCCTAGTATTTCAAATTAATTCTCTGTTTTCTGTAAAAGATAATAAGAATCATTGCATTTGCATGCAGCGGCAAGTTTCCACACAGCATTGTTCCACAAACAGTCATGAAGTGAAAGTCCAAGGAAGGAAGGCTATTTGTTCAAACTAGCTGCCATGTTTGCCAACAAATACATCATCACTACCCTTTACAGTATATCCTGTGAAGTTTTTTGAGATGTTTCAACAATGTGATAAGGCACTATATCAAATGCAAGGATTATTATTAGTTTTTGCAGAAAAAGCAATGAAGTGCTTCCCCTGCACTGCACTCAAGTGTCAGTCTGGGCTATGAGCGCAGAGTCTCAACATGGGGCTCGAACCCAGAAACTTCTGACTCGGAGGCAAGAGTGCTACCAACTGAGCCAAGCTTTGTGGTAGAAATGTGTCTCTTGGCAGAGGAGTGGGGGAAGAAAGAGAGTAGGAAGGTTCCACATGCAAAAAAATGTTTTAAATGTAAACCAACAGAATGGACAAGCACAAGAACTCAGAATGTGACTGACACAATCGAGGGATTTGATGGTTTCCGTTGGGAGATGGGAGTCTTTCCTGAAGCTTTTGAAGGACACTGTTTGATTCAACTTTTTTTTCACTTTAGATGTTCTACAGATGATGGGGCGTGCAGGCAGGCCTCAGTTTGATGACCAGGGTAAAGCAGTAATTTTGGTGCATGACATTAAAAAGGATTTCTACAAGAAGTTTCTGTACGAGCCATTCCCTGTTGAGTCAAGGTGAGTTGCATTAATGAGAATAAACTGGTATGTTGATGCATACAGCTGCTCAGTGGATTCCTGAGGCTTAGTGGTCAGAGCACTTGCCTCACAAGTGAAAGTACCTGGGTTCGATTTCTGGACAAGGCAAAATGTTAGGCAAGTTTCCTTCCTCCACACGCCTCTGTATATAATAATAATAATAATCCTTGCATTTGATATAGAATTTTTCACATCTTCTAAACGTCTCAAAGCGCTTCACACAATAGATTGTAAAGTGAATTCACTGTATATTTGTGGGCGAAACGCAGCAGCCAATTGCACACAGCAGTGTCCCACAAACAGTCATGGATTGAGTTTAATGTTTCATTTTTTTTATAATTTAATTTTTAATAATTTAATGTTTAATGGGTAGAAAGCTTGGGTGTTACTTGCCAAATGTTGCAGCTTCCTGTTGCATCATTTGAATCAGGCATTATCGTAAAAATGTTGAGTCTTCTAATGATGATAACTTTGTCCAGTTCTGCTACTGAAGTTTAAGCGATGATACTAGTGATCTGAGGAAGACTTGCAAAAGGACCTGAAATCTTAAAAGTGAAATCTTTTTGGTTGAATTTCTGAAGATTTGCACTGCTTCAGTGAGCAGATCCAAATAAGATGCATAGAATGTGTTTTTTGGGTGCAGCCTCTATGGTTCTTGGGAAGCTGGTCCCTTGCAGGTGCAGGACTAATTATAAAAAATACTTTTTCAGGCAGTATACATAAACTAGCACTAGTTTACTTAGTTTAACTAGTTCACCTACCAGTGAGTAGGAACCCGGTTGTTAGTCAATTGGCGGATCGCTTTCCTGGGGGTAATAATTCCTTNAAAAAAAAAATAATGATTTGGTCACTCAATTGATGACTGCTTGTGTTCCAAAGACATGATAATGCTCTATAACAAATGCAAGGATTATTATTATTATAATTTATTGCCTCCTGTGAATAAATGTTAGTTGTTCATTGAGTGAAATCACTCATTTTCAACACACCATCTCATAACTTCTCATTTACTTGGGTAGCATCTCAAAGTGCTTGATGTAGATTATTAAGTACACGGTTTGCTTCAACAATGTTTAATCCCCAAACTTAAAATGTACCAATGTACCAGTTTAATATTGTTTTTACAACAACAATAACAGCAACTTGGATTTTTATGGTGCCCTCCACACCGGACAGCGTCTCAGAGCGCTTCACAGTAACCATGCCAACTGGCATTATGCCCTCTCTGTGAAGTTAAGGATATGTATTGAATTGTCACAGAGACCGAGTTGAAGGTATCAAACTCATTTTGAATGGGACCCCTAACCCAATGGAGAGGTAGACAGATATTTAGATATGAGAAATATTAAACAGTAATATTAAACAGTTGGTGAAAGAGCAGCACATTGGGATATAAAGAGCTGCCGAGTATTTTCATTGTGATTACTGAGAGTAACCATAATAATAATAATAATCCTTGTATTTGATATAGCGTGTTTCACACCTTCTAGACAGAATATTGTAAAGTGCTTCACAGAATATTGTAAAGTGAATTGACTGTATATTTTTGTGGGCAAAATGCGGTAGCCAATTGCACACAGCAGTGTACCACAATAATTGTGGATTGAATGACCAAATTATTATTGTGTAATAATAACTTAGTGTGTTTCATACATATGCAAAATATGAACCCTATTTAAAGAGAGATAGACAGGCACTCAGGTGGTAGTACTGCTAAAGAGTACAGTGAATGGGAGGGACACTGGGGTTGAAAGATCTGCCGAGTTTTAATAAACTGGGGGAACAGACTCGATGGGCTGAATGGCCTCCGCCTGTTCCTGTTTTCCTATGTTCCAATCAGGCTTGCATTCAAATCCATATCTCAAAGGTGAAAACACAGTGAGCTAACTCACTACACTAACTGGTCCTGTCTTGTCACTTTGAAACCAGAAAATTCTTATTAAATTGACTGAGACTAGGTATTCCGTGAACATGTATAGAGGAAGCCGTCAAAAATATGCAAAACCGAAGAGCCTTAACATCTGCTAACATCTGTAGGGTTACTACTGGTCATTTTGGCTATTCACAAATACAGAGCAAGAATTATTTCTTTAAAAGAGATTGATAAAAAGCTAAAAATGTATGAAGATCGTTCCTGAAACTTGACAAAGCCAGCTGTTCTGTCTCTGCCAGAGTTCAGGGAGCTGTTTCTATGTCTTCCACCTCCCCACAGCTGAACTGCTTTCCCAAGACAGTATCCTAAATAAAGACACGTATCATGGAATTCAGTATCACCCCTGGTGACTCTACATGACCCTGGAAGAGAGAGTAGTGGATTGAAAGCAAGACCTCTCAAATTCAACAAGTACTAATCTAATCATACAGAACTATATTTGGATTTTTTTTCAAAAAAACATCTCCAAAGGAGATCCAAGATAAATAATCTTTGCATTTGATATAGTAATTTTCACGTCTTCTAGACATCTCAAAGCGTTTCACAGAATATACTGTAAAGTGACTTGACTGTGTCTTTGTGGGCAAAACGCGGCAGCCAATTGCATACAGCAGAGTCCCACAAACAGTCTTGGATTGAATGACCAAATTATTATTTTATTTATTTAAATAATTATTTATTTAAGTAGTTTAGTTATTTAATTATAATTTCTTAGGTGCTTTTATAGCATTAATATTATTCACTTTAAGAAATATAACCAAAATACAATGAATTCCTTGGTAATGGGGAGGGCGTATCTGCAGGTCAGTTGAATAAAGTGAAACAGATGTGTCATAGCGGAAAACAAATCATTGTGCCATTATTATGTGAAATGTTATCATCAGCCTTGTAAATCTTATCTAGTGTTTCTTATCTGTGCATTGATGTATATTTTCCATATTGCAGTTTGCTGGAGGTGCTTTCTGATCACTTGAATGCGGAAATTGCAGCTGGAACAGTTTCGTCCAAGCAGGATGCCATGGACTATATTACATGGACCTATTTTTTCCGCCGTCTTGTCATGAATCCCAGGTAAGTAGGAAACTTGGCTAGATTAGAGCGCTGTGTGAATTATTAATAGATTGAGTGAAATCTGTTGAAGGTATCTGTTTCCAAGTCATTGGTGTGAGGATTTACAGCATCAGACAAGTGAAACCGCTGTATCAAAAATGGTTGCTCTGACTGATGCAGGTCCACTGTGAATGAATACTGCTGCCTGTTCTTGTGTATGAACCTGGACAGCATATTTGAGTCTTCGTTCAAAAAGCAGCAAAAGATACCAGGAATTGTGTAAAACGTAATCATTTTAACAGTCAGAAAAGGAGCAGGTCACCATGAGATCAATATGCATCCAAACCATTGTGAAAGCAGCCTTTGAAGCAATCCTATTTTACAATGGCCCCTGCAATAAGAGTGGTAAATGCTGCACGCATGATCATGCTACCAAAATGCATGTAACCAGGGTGTCGGAGTTGTGAATCCAAAGTGTTAACTAGCCTCCCTCCACCAACCACCCAGTTCACAAATTTAAAACTGAAGGTCTTGCAACCATGGCAGGTTTAAAGATTTGCCAGCAGACTGACTGCTAGCTGTCAATTTTTAATAGTCTTTAGCCTAAGGGCGCAACAAAACTGTCAAATTCAGGGTCAGTGTTTAACCAAGTGGAGTGTATGTTAATTGATGGGGTCAGGTAATTGGCAGGCATGGAATTATGCAGCTATTTGAGCAGCTGGTAGTGAAGATCATGGTCTTGGAGAACAATGCTCCATTGGGTACTGTACACACTGGTATTCTTACGATCAGTGCATAGTATTTAACATCACACAGTTGAGATGGACTGTAGTTGTGTGCTTTCTTGTACAGGTAGTTTGCTTTCTTTTAACTCCAATATAAACTATCGCATCTGGACTCTAAACTTCCTGCCAAGAAATCAAAGCCGGATGAAAACCACACAATTGCTGTTTTGTTTTATAATTCATGTATTTTGAAGTAAATAGAAGAGCCAATATTGGTAGTTAAGGAAAACATAGGCCTTGATTTAATGAATCCATCGGTAATGTTGGCATCTGTTTACTTAAGCACATGGTTGCTGTTTGATGTACCAATGCTACAGTTAGCCCTGCCATTTCCATATTTAAACAAATGAGTAATGTGTCTCCTGGAGCAGGTCAGCTCAGACCTCCTGTTTTGATGAGATGGGAAAAGCCTCATTACAGTTGATTATAAAGACCATTTTACATTTTCCTGAGTGTAATCAACATTAATTGCAACAAATAGTGGATGATTGTGAATTTTGGATGAGATTGGGATAAATCTCAGTTGTGATACATACCCTCCCCCTTGTTGTCAAGTAGATATGACATGTCTCAGGCATACAAATTGAGTAATGGAGAAAAAACATTAGCCTAGAGATTCGATGCTATCAAGAGATGAGAGCTAAAGATAAATAATTGAGACAAAACAACGTTTTCTGGATATAATTTCTCAAGAGATTGGGCATATTCCAGTGATGATATCAATGCTGTCTTTTAATGGAAAAGCCTCAAAGAAATGAAGTCACAATGTGACACAAAACCATCATAAATTAAGTAATAATGCAAGAGAATTTCAGATTAAGAAGATCATTTCACCAATTTGATCTCATCCTTCCTGAATATAAAGCCTATTGTCTTCCCTTTGCAGTATTTAGCTGTTTGTAAAATTACAATTCATGGGTCACATAGCGTATTACCAAGGGCGGATTGGGGGGGGCAGCATCATAAAGACAGCGGGAAATTCAAATGTATCTGAATATCCCAACAAATAATTCTCTGCCATTTCTGGCACCTCCAGCATGATCCAACCACTAAACATATCTATCTCTTCCCGCCCCTCTCAGTATCCCGAAGGGACCGTTCACTCCATGATTCCCTGGTTCATTCCTCCATCACCACCAACAGTTGCTCTCCTCCCCTCGGCACCTTCCCATGCCAACGCAGGAGATGCAATACCTGCCCTTTCACCTCCTCCACTGTCCAAGGCCCCAAACAGATTTCAAGTGAGACAGTGATTTACATGCACTACCACCAATGTAGCTTACTGCATTCGCTGCTCACAATGTGATCTCCTCTACATTGGGGAGACGAAACACAGATTGGGTGATCAATTTACCGAACATCTCAGTTCTGTCCCCAAACACAACGCTGAGCTTCCGGTTTCTTGCCACTTCAACTCTCCCTCCCAAACGCACTCTGACCTCTCCATCCATGGTCTCCTACGCTGTTCCAATGAGACACAGCGCTAGCTTGAGGAATGGCACCTCATTTATCTGCTAGGGATGCTCTGGCCTCAATATTGATTTCAACAATTTCAGACTATAACAGCTCATCTTCCCCCTCCCCCTCTTCTGCGACCATTACCACATCATCTGAGTCCCAGACACATCTTTTCTCTCTCTGGTCTGCCTATTTTGTTGCAATCCGCCCTTCTTTGTTTTGCATCATTAACACCTCTTTAACCCATCATCCCCTGTCCTCTACCCATTTTTTCCTTTGTCTTCCTTGCCTTGTCTCCCTTCTCCCCTCTCTGTTAGCCCTTAAAAGCCTCTCCCTCCCAACATGCCCCAGTTCTGACGAAGAGTCGTGGACCCTAAACGTTGACTCACTTTCCTTTCTCCATAGAAGCTGCCTGAGCTGCTGAGTGTTCCGCTATTTCTGTTTTTGTTTCAAATAATTTAGTGTGGCTGATTTTCCTCATTAGCATATGTTTCTGCTCCTGCTTCCCAGCCTCATTGTTGCTGTAGGGGTCCACGGAAACTGGTTGCCACTGGTATCCCACCCAAGTGGCCAGTGTTCATGTGCAAGCCTTGCTTTGTCAATGAGTGTTGGCAGGCTACTTGCCTATAGAAGAAGTCACAGCCAAGCCTTTAATTTTCCTTTACCCAAGGAAGGCAAGGGCCATCTGACTCAGCGAGCTTCTGGTCCATAAGCTACAGGTCTATCCTCTATCCATTACCTCATCAAACTGCCCCATATTATCAGGAAGTTTACAGAGCGTCCTATCTTCCTAACCTCTGAGAACAGAGGTTACTATACATGTTTAGCACATGCACTTGATCAGAATATAATAATAATGATAATCATAATCCTTGTATTTCATATAGCTCATCATTACAGAGTCCTGTAGCTCAGTGGTTAGAGCACTCGCCTTGCAAGCGAGACACCTGGGTTCAATTCCAGGCAGGGCGAAACCTTGGGCAAGTTTCCTTACTCCACACACCTAATAATAATCCCTCCAAAACCAAAACAATAATAAATTGGTCATTTTCAATCCACGACTGTTTGTGGGACACTGCTGTGCACAATTGGCTGCCGCGTTTCGCCCACAAATATACGGTCAATTCACTTTACAGTCTATTCTGCGAAGCGTTTTGAGACGTCGAAAAGACATGAAAAGCGCTATATCAAATGCAAGGATTATTATTATTATTACGTCTTTGAGATGTCTCAAAGCACTTCACGGAGTATCCTGTAAAATGAATTGACTGAATATTTTGTGGGTGAAACAGACCCAAATGCACACTGTGTACACAGTAGTGTCAGCTATTCCCTTATGTTAAAACCATCATGTTTGCCTCAAGTGACCACCCCTCCCTGAATGTAACATCAGCTCCAATTTGGAACAGCATTCGGTACTGTTGGAACCACAATATAAAAGCAGCATTAGAATCCCAGTGGCGACATCGCTCTCAGTGTAGCCACAGGCACAATATTAAGAGAGGCATCTGTAAGAATTGTTTACTGAGCTGCATTGTCTGGAAAGCCACCAGTTGTTCTGCAGTACTGGAATAGCAGAATCCCTTTGTTTAGCTTTGTAATGGGCACTTAACCACGTTGATAGAGGAGTAATGGGTTTATGATTGGAAGGGTGGAGCTGGTAGCAGCTGGTATTGTTCTGTGGCATGTTGGCTGGCCCTGGCTTGAATATGTTTCAAAATCCAGATTGACACATTACCCTGGGGTGGGTGACAGTGAACAATTTCACGGGTATTAAACCAAAGCTGGGCAGATTGCAATGTATATTCGATGCTGAAGCTTACCAGATTGTTTTTGCAGCAGTTTTCTCTTGATTTTGGACATTGTCAGGATTTGTACTGAAGTAAGGCTTAAATTTTTTTTTAATTATTTCCAATATTTGGATCATATCCTGCTTTTAGATTAATTCCACCATAAACTGAATGTGTTTTATTGTCTAAACTCAGCTGAAGATGACATATGGATTGTTTGCAAAATAGATGTAACACATCATTTTTCAACAAAAAAAATGTGATTTTTTAAAAACATAGACAGCAAATGTAAACTAACACCAGAGGTTTTGAAGGGAAATAATCAATATAACGGAATGGAGGAATGCTCTTGACTCTGTAAATCAAACGTGCATACTTTTTTTGGCTAATTTTATTATTTTTGTGCCAAAGCATGCAATTTACACTCAGCCAGAATGAAAAGATTACTATGAATTGGAACCATTTCGCCCACTTTGTAACCCTCCAGCTCAGGTTAGGCAGCTGAGCTGGAGGGTTACCAACATTAAATGTAGATTAAACTTTTTACTGGTCTGGACTATCTGTACTAATGCTAGTCTTATGGCAGTGAGAGCCAGCTTGTGCCATTTGCTTTCCACTTGAGCAAGCTATTTAATGCTGTTATTTTCTGTAAAGTACAGAAAAGATCTTGAATTCCCAAAAGTTTATTTCAATTGTAGCCAATACTGAGCTAATGTAAAAGAATGGATTGCTAGCCGCTGCCCAATTTGATGGGTCAGATCCTTTAGTGGCTATAAGTTTTCTGAACACTGCCATGAGACCACAGTCTATCTCACTCCCTGGATAACTGTTTTACTTAGTGGGTAATATGCATAGTCTTCTAGACTTACTTTTTTTGAACTATTTTGGGTGGGAATAGTTCCAGAACTACTTCAAATTTTCCGTAGCATTCCAGCAATGTGCTCCTGTGCCAAAAAGCACTCGCACTGTGGTCCCGAACTCCTCCACA